TTCTGATTAGTTTAATTCCAATCTTAATCGCAATCTCTAATTCGATCATGCCTTTAGTGTAAATTCTTGAAATCATTTTGAAACAAAAATAATACCAAAATATCGATGGTATAATAATTTTTTAATTATAAACATTTAAAATTAGCGAATCATATCGCCTAAAGTTCGCGCGTTTAGGTGCAGTTGAATTCAATAATTTTAAGTACGCTTATAATGCTTATATAATTCAAATCCTGTTAAAATACTCGACATTTTAGTATCAAACATTTAATTTCAAAGTGATCTCAGAAATATACTCTTAAACGTTGTTATGGTTTTTACTGAACGTCTCGTATATGTATAATTCCTACGTGTGTATTTATATATGTGTGTGTGTATGTATGTATATATATATGTATATATATATGTACATACACACACATACACAATATACGATATATGTATGTATACACATTGAAAGTTCTTGATGTATGTAATACTCATTTCAGCTATAACATAGAGATTTTCTAATTTTAGGTCAAAATGTTCCACCTTTTTGTGTCAAACAAAATCATTCCCTTTGTTACCATCCTGCATTCGAACATAAAGATTATTTTCGTCAAAACTGTGCTCCAATTCTTGATGAAATATCTACAACCACGTGTTATAGTCGTTATAGAATGATGAAATGCCGTAAGTTTGCAAAAGCGATTTTGAATGCTTGAATAAACATTACTATGTTATTCCTATAACGCTTTTATTGAATTTTTTAGCTAGCTCTGATGACATTTTCGCATTTTATGTAAATCCTTTTGTAATGGATGACGATATAAACAGTACGTTTTACATTTTAATTTTAAATATAAATTTATTTTGTAATATTATGACAAAGTATTATATATACATATGATAAAAATTATTTTTGTATATGTTAGAAATGTCCGAATTGAAATGTTATGTACAATTTGTTATATATTAATTTTAACAGTAGCTCTTCTAGAATGTGTAAGCATTATTTCTTTTATTAATCTATATATTAGTCTGTTTCTATAAGTAATCACTCATTGTACAAAAATAGATTAGACGTTTAAATCTTTAATAACTTTGCAAATCGAAATATTTCGTACACATGTTATATGAAAAACTAAAACTAATATTGACATATATTTCAGCATAGCTGCACCGTAAAAAATTTGGTTAAAAATGAACGAATCAGAATTTTCTGGTTAAATTTAATAGAATTCTAGTTAAGATAGCCGGAATTCTGATTGACACATCATTTCTGGTAAAACCTAGTAGAATTCTTATTTATACTTGCTATGATATGTTCAAACGAAAACACGTTTATATGTATAATTAATAAACCTATTTATTAGATATTTTTCTGAATATACGTGTTTTAAGTAGGTCTAGTTATTACACGTTTAAACGAAGATGCATTTAGCACATCCATCTATATGTATGAAAAACGTATTTTCGAATATGTTTCGAATTTCAAGTTTTTTTTTTTAAATAAACGTTTATCCTTTTATTAAGGAGTCTTCCTAGGGTAACAGATTTTAAAAAATTGAATTTTTTGTGTAAGAAAGACGTTTGAGTATATTAAGAACAGAAAACATATGAATATAAAATAATAATAGAACAGTGTATTCGAAAAAACATTTCTAATAAATGGATATGCTAATTATACGTGTAAACGTTTACCTAAATAAGTAAATGTTTTTCTGAAAACGAATATAACCCATCTATGAGAAACGTTTTACGTATCTTTCGTTACATATATCTTCGAAAAACGGTATAAAAGCTTTAATTTTTATCAGAATGATGAGATATTAATCATAATTCTATCTCAACTATTATGTTATAGAATTTAGTTTTTAGTAGATTTAACCAGAAAATTCTGATTCGTTCGTTTTTCACCAAAATTACTATTTAAATCCAACTAGATTATTTTTCTGAGTGTGGAAAAATCAATTTCTTATGTTGTTAATTGTTTTTTATATTTACTTACATTTTCTTTAGTTTTATGGAACGGAGTGTTTCAGGAAAAAATTTATTATTATACTAAAAATTAGTAATAATAGGAATATGTATAGTATACATGTTACATAAAATGAGATATTGAAACTTGAACGATCAGGCGATACTAATTACACAACTGTACTATGAATCGTGTCAAATAGGAGATAATTACATTATACATATAGTAAATAATGCGCAATTTCTGTAGCATGTAATGTTATGATCTCTAAAATGATAATTGAGATTACAAACTATATCTCACTTTATTAAAATCTAATTTACTACATATAAAAAAGGGCGTTAGCATAATTTCTCGACGTGCAATTAATATTTATAATATTTTGGTAAAATAATAATTCGTTTGTATTCATTTTTTCAGACATGTGTCTATATGGTAATATGATGCTGCGGATTGGTGATAGGATAACTCCATCTTTCGGTGATAGGGATCACCGCAGTTGTATTTTTTGCATTTGCGAAGTACCACCTGTACTAACTTGTAAATATATTGAGTACATTGAATGCTCTCGCCGCATTCAATATTAATTTTAGTATATTGTTATTACTTTTGCATATTATAGGAAGCAAAACTTTGTTATAAATTTATTTGGATATTTAAAAAATTACTATAAAAATTTATATTTGCAAAAATAGAAATGTATTATTAATTATTAATATCCATCACCTAATTAATGTTACATATGTATAATATAATGAAATGTTTAAATATATATATATATATACATATATATATATATATTAGGGTGGCCCAAAAATACACAGAAAAATAAATTTTTTAGAATTTTCATGCTGCCGCCCCCCAGAATTGAAAAAGATGTAAAAAAAAGAGATCCGTATTTTTTCTTTTTTTAATCGGTTGATATTTGATGGTGCCGCCGAGCCTCTGAAGTTTCCCATGTATTCTATATGGGAAAAAAACACATTTTCGTAGATTTGATAAAAAAAATCGTTAGAAATGTCTGTTTTTTTATGTGCAAACAATATTTCTCTTGAGAAATGTTGAAAATATGAGATCCTAACAAATATTTATTAAAAAAATTACGTTAACTATGTTTTACAGGACCGCAACAAATGAAATACCTGCAGAAAAAGGACTTTTATATTTAAAAGTATTTCTATCAATTTTATGTTTAGTTTAAGTATTACTTAAAAATATACGTTGAGGAATAATAAACGTTTGTTACATTTCATTATTGCAATTAATTTATTACAATTCTACAATTCTAGAAATATTACACATATCACTCTATAAACTTAAGTTAAGATAGTTCTCTAGTAAATATACTTGTAAAAACATTTTTTTTAACAAAATTTCCAAATTGTTTCCTATACGTTAACGCAAACGTTATTCTGTCAACGAGTAAAATTTTAAAAACTCATAGGTATATAAAATTTAATATTGTTCTTGAATATTGCCTTCTATCGAACAATAGATTAATTAATTGATAAGAATTAATATCTGCTTTGTTTTTTTTTATAATAAGAGTAATTTATGATAAATGAGAAAAAATTTCGTTCAAATGAACGTTCAGAAAGTCAGGAACATATTATGAATAACTTTTTTTTTTAATATTTTATTCTATTAATATTTAACTAAATATAATATTTTATAAAATTCACACTGTATTGGATCCGCTATTGGAAAAATTTTAGAAACTGACATCAGATTCGTAATCAGTGACCCAGAAAAACCTCCCCATAACAAGTTTCAAATGAATCTGAGCAGTTTTTGAAAAAGTCTTCCACCATATTCGATCCGCCATTTTGAATTTTGGAAAACTGATATCGGATTCGAAATCAGCGACCTCGAAAACTCCTGACTAACAAGTTCAAAATAAATTCAGAAAAAAACTGCGAATTCATAGCTCAGTTATGAAAGAATAAATAAATGTAACAACAATAATTTGTTTAAACAATTATAAAATACAAAAAATCATTAGTAACAATTCATTTGTCGGTAAAAAAAGAAAAATCTATGTGCAAGAATCAGCGAGAAAATTACTAGAAATACTTTTAAACATAAAAGTGCGATTTTTGCATGCGTTTTGTTCTCTGCGGCACTATAAAACATAGTTAACATAATTTTTTTTAATAAATAATTGCCAGAATCTCATATTTTGAACATTTCTCAAGAGAAATATCGTTTGCAGATTAAAAAACCAGACATTTTTAATAATTTTTTATCGAATCTACGAAAATGTGTTTTTTCCCATATAGAATACATGGGAAATTTTAGAGGCTCGGCGGCACCATCAAATATTAGCCGATTAAAAAAAGAAAAAATACGGATCTCTTTTTTTTGCATCTTTTACAATTCTGGGGGGCGGCCGCGTAAAAATTTTTTTTGGGCCACCCTAATATATATAATATATGAAAGAAGTTGTATGACGATATTATAAATGCTAAGTTGTATCTTCTGTATGTTATTCGTATCTTATTCATATCATTGTAAACATACCATATATACGAGATTAAGGTAAATGAAGATGCAGACTATTAATAAAAACTATCGATAATTTTCGAAAAATTTAATAAATTACGGGACATTCTAACACAAATTCAAGGCAGTGATTCAAGGCGAGAGTTACGTAATTTAAATGAGCACGCAATGCGCGATGACTGATAAAACAAATTATTCTCTCCAGTTTGCGTTTCCTCTTCGCTTGTCCTATTCTTTATATTTCCTCCCTTCTCATATTGTTTACCAGATTTTTCTTCGTCTCTACGCAGGTTTACTCTCATACACATTTTCGACTCTATTTCTCTTTGTAGATATTTTTTAACTCTCTTTCTCGTCTGTGTTTAACTTATTCACGTATTAGGTATAATATGTATGTACGTATTTCCCCTCTTTCTGTACTGTGTCCCTGCGTCTGCGTCATTCATATATCCATGTCTTTCTCGTGTCCACTTCCAGTCCCTTCCAGACCGTGGACTGACCACTGGACGTGGTATAAATGACGCAGCGCGAACGCAAATCGCATAAGTTTTCACGTCGCTCGAACATGACACGTCGTGGTTCTCGTTCTCTCAGTTTGATATGCGCCTATCTGGCGTTCGTTGCTGTCGCAGTCGCGGTTGATCAAGGTGAGTCGCAAACAAAACGACGCTCGCAAGCAACGTACGATAAATTATTACAAAAAAGTCACACGCACATTTGAATATTAATTTTATCTACCTAATCCTTAGGTAACAATTAACCGTAAGGTAACAATTATTTTCGATTTAAATTTTAATGTGGCTCCGAGATGCAACGAGTTAATGATTTTGTGGCGAAATTGCGAAGAGCACGCAAGTGTTGGAACCACTGAATGTGAAATTGTAATTCAGATTAAGTAACCGTCAAATTCTTTACAAGTGCATTGCATTTGTATGATACAAACATTTTTTACAATACCAAAAGATATTACTTAATCATAACAATGTGATAATAATTTCATTAATTAATTATGTTACTTTATATATACCTAATATTTATTTTATTGCAAATTAATAAAAATTCTGTTTTTACTCATTCTCTAATAAAGTTTAAAAGATAATGTATTTACGAAGCACTTTTCTCAAAAGCTTTCCAAATTACAATAATTGTAAGAACTTTGATTGTATAAACAATTCTTGGTTTTATATTTACTTAAATTCCGTTACATGAATAATGACGCAACTCTAATTATCAGCACTCAAAATAACGGTTTTACTTATCTGGTTAAATGTTATCTATTCTCATGGTCAATTACCCTATTAAATTCTTCTTATCATTTTGCAAAGAAGAATGTGATAAAACAAAATGTCCGGGTCCATTGGCATATTACAAGGGTCTCAACTGTAGCCCAGTGTACGAAAAGGAGGGCGATTGTTGCGCGACAAGATACAACTGTGAACACCTGAAAGAGCGAGACCCTAAAAAGTGTTACGTCAACGGTAAAGCGTACGAAATCGGGGAGAAACTTAAAGATGAGGATAAGAATCCTTGTGACATTGGTTGCACCTGCAGCGCTGGACATGGGGGAATGTAAGTAAAATACCTTAGCAACAATATTTTGTAATTGCTCCGTATGATAATTTAATGTTTAAATTATTAAGTTTATTAATTCAAATTACGAAATTTCGTAAAATATAGCGCCACATTTAATTGCGCGATAGTTGATTGTTTCCATGGACAAGCAAAACCAGGTTGCTTCATAAAGAATTTCCCATTAAAATGTTGTCCCGGAGAAGAAGTTTGTCGTAAGCATACGTAATCTAATTAAAAGTTGTACATTTTCTACGTATATTCATGACATTACATACATTCTACACATATAAATTGTTAACTCCAATTTCTAATTGTAATATTACGCATTTATATATTGCACAAATTTGCATTATGCATTTGTCAACTAAAATAATTATAATTAAAAATTTATAATAATAATTTTAAATAATTATAATTTTACATTCGTATATTCTTTTTTAGCTAATATGTTTAACAGATTTTTATTAGTCAAAAAACCATAACGTTCGTTTAGTATAATTAACTTTACTTTCACGCACACAATAACAATCCACACCTGTCACAGGATATTTCTATCTCGTAAAATATGTGTACAATATTTAAATGAAGTCATTTACGTTTTTTAGCTGAAAAGCCCGAAGATAGAGCTACCTGTAATGTAAATGGAAAGGAATATAAAGAAGGAGAATTTTTCAGTATCGAAAGTGATCCGGAATTAACTTGTACATGCCAACCAGGCTATACAGGTAAAGATAATCTCAGCGCATCATTTTCAATTGTTCATTGATGAATAACATTTAATACATCCGTACTAATATAAATACAACCATATTAACTTACAGCATAGGATAATACATGATATAAAAAATAAGCTATTTTTTAAATATATTGATAATATTATTATCAATATTATTCAATATTATTAATATTATCAATATATATGAAATTTATTTTTCGTTATAATGCACGAAATTATTATGTGACAAATATGACAAATACAAATAATTTTCAATAAAATAAATGTAGTACGAAAACTTACATTCATCCAATATGTTGCTGAATAATTTACTCTAGTTTATTTATTTATCAACAAACAAGCTAGTATATTAAATAATTAAATATTTGATGTATCTATACAATATATATACACGGAAAAAAGATATAGTTCACATAATCAGAAATATTTTAGTTGTGAGTAATATAGCTATGTATATCATTATTCTAGTTATTTTTATGTAGTATGAATGGTTGATACGAATTGTTTACTTTGGTGTGTCAACTATCTTAATGTATTATAGTTACTGTGATCTGGTTGTGACAATCAAAACTTGGTTGAGTAATCATTTACTATGGATAAGTTATCTATCCGTCAAATATAAACGACTCAGAAATTGCAATAGAAATTATTTAATCATATTGTCAAGATATCTATGGTTAATTTAAACACATAACTTTAAGTATATAATTCTTTGAATTTTTTAATCGTTTATATTTCACCACATACAAAAATTAGTTTATCTAATCAAATAATATTTTTTCACGTATTTATTTTACAAGTTAGTACCAATTTCTATTTATAATAAGGAAATGTGTGTTGTGCAGTGATATTTTTGATAAAAAGATATAGAAACTTATTATATTATCTTTTTATTAAAAATATCACCGTATGAAACATTCCTTTATTGTAAATAGAAATTGATAGTAACTTAATCTATTTAGTATTTTTATAGCTTGGATCATTTACAATGATCTAAGAGAGTGATGACAACTATTAATCTTTACATATCAACATAATTTGTCTAAGCTAATCAAATGATCCAGTTACCATTATAATATTCGTAGTTGAATATTCAAGAAATCTGGTTGTAGCAAGCAGATATCGTCATTACTACAACATAAATCATTCAATCATTGTACTGTGGTTCAAGCAATCACATAAATAGTTGCTCCATATTTTACAATTCAATCTGGTTGACATCACCAGATTTCTGTATAGACCAATCAGACTGTTTTTTCCGTGCATAAATGTATACATATATTTGTCATAACAATAATTAAGACTAAATTTGCATTTATCTAAATTTCAATGACGTGTGTAGTTACAATTCCATAATAGAAACTCCAAGTTCAAATCTATATAGTTTAACCATAAGATTGCGTTATATCAGTGAACAATATTATGATTTTAGGAGAAAATGTTGAACCTTTCTGTGCAAAGCCTAAGCGTTCATATTGCCATCCCGAATTCAATCATTTATATGAGGTTATTAATAAATGCGCTCCGGTTTATTATCCATCTCAATCACCGCAGACTAGTTGCAACGCGTTTTCGAGATGTCGTAAGTTCACAAGTTGCAATTTTGAATAATATATTTATATATATATATAGCGTTATCTAGTAATTGCGGTAGTTCTTTAGAAAACGATAATGACATTGTTACTTTCATTGCTTTTTACTGTAATAATTATGTGGCTTTTTAGAAAACAATAACGACACTATTATTCACAAGGAGGATCATCCGAAGACTGATCCAAGTCCAGATGGTATGTTTCATATTTAATATTATATGTAGAGATATGATGATTCTTTAACAATCTAAAATAATTAATACTCTTGAAGGTTTGTCTTGATCTTTTATTAATTTTGCTAATTACTGACTCATTGAAAAACGTAAAGATTTATATTTAATTTGCTTATTGAATTGAAACATACATGATGTATCGATACGCATTTGATTCGAGCAACGCTAATTACAACTGTGTTTTGAATAGCATGAAATGAGAGTTAATTACGAGAAATGTTGCACACGAGAAGCAACGCGCAAATCAATTTCTGTCGCAATCCTATAAAATGATAATTAATTTGGTCATCGTTATCCCCAGCATAGAAAATTGTGTTATAGGCGTGTCAGTTAACACGTCACTAACACCCGTGATCGCGTTTGATGTTCGTCATTAAAATCAATTTTATTTATTTATGTATTTCCCGAATTTATTTTTGACATTCCAAAACTGAAATGTGAAGAAAGAAATAGAAATTAGATGAATAAAAAATTATATTACCGCTCTGGCTATAAATTGATACAATAACAATATTCAATAGTTTAATACTTTAGAATTAATTTTATCATATAAAATATATATATTTCATCGAGACTTCTTTTCAGACGAAGAAGTTTGCCATTTTGGCAATATGGTCATGCATCGTGGCGACGAATTGGATCAAGATACAGATAATAATTCTAAGTGCATAAAATGCGTTTGCGAGGTGCCTCCTGTGCTTACTTGTAAGCGCTTACCATACAACGTGTGCGACTATTAATCTTAAACATTTAAAAATCTGTGATAATATAATTATTGTACTTCTGTTACTCGATTTAGGATTTTGTAGAAAATTAGTACATAAATATAAGAATCCTCTCTATATATACGTATGTTCTAATATAATTTGCATTCTTTTACTTATTGCATATAAATTTATGCGATAAAAATATTCAATAATAAAAACATGTTTTTATGTATTGCATGTTAAAAAATTTAGATTATAAATTTTTTACCAATCCTGTGCATGTTATGATAGATACAATATAAATAACATTTAAGAGTTAGAACAAGACATGGAACGAAATCTCAAAATAGTAAATATTTAAAAAATAAACTTTGTTATTAAGTAATTTATGAAAGTTTTTAATTCTTTCGTTTTTAATTATTTTTTGATTATTTAGTTTTGCCTAGTAAGCTGTAACGTATGTTTTCCAAGCATTCTGAGCGTCTGCAAAAAAGTATCTTACCTTTTTTATATTAACGTTCTTAAGATTATCAATCTCATTAAACAACATGTTCAAAAGAATCTAACTAAATGTTATTATTGAATTGAATAATAAAATAAGTACACATTTGATTATAGTATATTAATACTAATTTACTATTAATATAATATAATCTACTTAACAATTACACATTTGATTGATGTAAATTTGTAAAATTACATATTTACTTACAACAAATTCTCGTCTATAAAGATACTGATATTTCGTTATAGCGTGATATCGCGCTATCTCTTTTAATACTAATATAACGTTACGCTGGTCGGAATTATTCAACCGATGATTTTCGTGATCGTAATATTATGATTACCGTTAATATGGTTGCTTCCGCTTACAGTGCGCATTGATGCTATAATAATCTACATGCTGGGCAAACCAATTCCTGTTCTGGACATCGTCTGCTTAGTAATGCGCAAACTGGCAACAGAGTCATTTACACGCTTCGCCAAACGTTACCTGTTTCTCATTTAAACTCCTAAGTGATTTTACCGTTGACACTTTGCAAATTATTGCCGGTATTAACGGACTTGTTTCCGCGTTTCGTGTTAGTTCACGATTTATCGCATTCGCAATCGGGAAATCCCCGCTTTGCGAAGAAACGAATTAACTTTAACATTCACTAAACTCGTGGCTCTTAGCCTTCGCACGAGTCAATTGAAATCGAACATATGCAAACTTCATAGTTACTAACTTGACTGGTTAGCTCGTAAAATATAGATTGTAGATGCAAAATTCAAGTGCTAGATATAAAGTGAAGAAATCAAAATAATACTAAAGTAAAAAAAAATCTCTGTATAATATAAATTGTACATTCAAAATCTCTTCTAAATATCGAGCAAAAATTTATGAACCAGGCAAGACGTTTCTTACTATAGAATTTTAAATGCTGAAAACACGATACTATACTAACTCTTCAGTATATTAGTTTTCTGAAATAATTGACGTTGCAAAAATGACTTTTTTGCAATATTTGACTTTTTTTTTTGCAAAGAAGTTATCTTAAAATTTTGTTCAGAAATTATGAATGTATTATTTATCCTATATAAAATGTATTTTTTAAACAATAAGATTGAAAAATAAGAGAGTTATATTTTAGTAAACCCTTTTATGAGTATTTTAACCACTTTCGGTCTATCTTATGTGTTTTGCGTAATGAAATACTTGGTTAATTACATTTATTTCATGTCCGATTTTTGATTGAGAAGAATTCAATGTCTTTTTTATGCACTTGGCGTATGAATATGTATATGCACATAGTGCCTTAATACTTATCGATACAGAAATAATGTATATAAAAAAATTATTTTTTCTCGCAACAAACCATTTAATGGTTCTCATTTCATTTCGTATAAGTTTTAATTATTGATAAACATGAAAAGAGAATATATAAAAAATTAAAATTATATGAAAAATAAAAATAAAAATTGATGCGTTATAAAAATAATGTCAAAATAATCACTAACAGGTTTATTAAACAAATTAATCAAGATACGCTGTGAGATTGTAAAATATCCAATCCTTTTTTCATTCATGCATGTGATATCATGTATCTATATCAAGCATACGTATCAAAAATATCTCTGATATTGACTAATTTATAATATTAAATCTGGAATATAGAAAAATTAAAAGAAGACCTCGAGTTACATTAAAAAAATATTTTATACTGGAAATAAATGCCGTGTGTGTTTTCTAATTAATTAATTAATTAATTAAATATTAAAAAAATGTTTCTCTACTTTATGAGTACAGTTCCGCATAATAAAACAGTGTGCTAAATAATATATATTTATTGATCTCTATTTTACTATTAATAAATTTGCACATATGTTATGGAAAAAATGCACATTCCAGAGTTAAATATTAGAAGTAATTTATTTTAGCCCATTCATCTGGAAACACAATCGATCTATATGAGATTGATGTATACGTTTTTAACTTGATACATACATTTCTATATTTTATATATTATACATCTGATATCTACACTTCTCATAAATCTATGGTTTCAATTAAAGTAAAATGTTATTATAAATGTCACTCACAAATACGGTGCACTCACAAATACGATTAATAATATTAATAAAGTAAGTAATTGTTGAGTTTAGCCTCCTCACCTCCGATGTTGATAAAATTAGGCTCATTCGACACATTTTTGTACGAAATGAACGAACAAATCTGGCAAAAAAGGTTTTGCTCTGTTTTTTGGACCGAGGTATTAACCGTTAAAGTTAACGCCAAATTTTATCAACATCGGAGGTGAAGAGGTTAATTTAACAATTACCTTAGTAACAAATGAAAAATAATTGACTCACCCCCTGGTTACTCTGTCGTTGCTCCTCTCAGGTTGCTCCTTTTTATCAGGATTCATTGCATTCACACACATTCGCAAAAATACATTAACTATGATCGCGCGATATTTTATACGACACTCCCGATGGTCATCGAACGTGATGTTATATTTTGTTATATTTGACGATTGAAGAATACAATGCATAGTAATACAACCGCAAAGCTACGACTTTAATATCCGTAATATGTCGTAAATTAATGGAACAGATGAACCATTAACGGCAGAGGGTTATAATTGCCGATGAATAGATACTAAATTTACGATTAATCACGACTACATTCGCTGGTTCGTGATGTCGATTTGGAGCGGATTTGGAGCCGATCGATCGATGTATTTCTCATTACTTAAGCGATTCTCATTATTCGATGATCCGTATTTTCGGGTTCTCTCTCTCTCTCTCTCTCAATTTGAAAACAATACTACTAAATACATTCTAATATTTCTAATTGATGCAAATCTCAAATTATGATATTCGAATCTAAGTATTATGAAATAATCGCCATTTGCAAATACGTGAAATGATAATTAATAAATTCTATACAATTTAATATATTTGTCAGTTATTTCTGTTTGTCTTCCATCTTCTATCTATTTTAAGTAGATAAATCTCAATATCTATTTTAGTGAGCAGCTATCTCACATTATTAACATTAATCGCACAAGTTGATCGTCCGAAAGAAACGATTGCGTTTGAGAAATAATGTGGCAAAGTAGTAGTGCAGACATAGAGCGCGATCGGCGAACTACATTCCCATTCGAGCACTGTTATGAAATTGGGCATGGCTTGAGATGCCTCACGCCGAACGCGCTGACCTTGTTTACGGCGAGGACGTAACCGTCGAGTGCGTAAATCTACACGCCATTCAAACAATAAAAAAAATTCCGAGAAATATAATACGTTATAAAATAAAATCATATGCGATGAAGATTCTGTTACTTAAATTTATTATTGAAATTTTCACAATGTATTTCGACAAATTGCGTGCCTATCTTGTATATTATAACATGAACTATAATTCCTTACTTGAGCCATATACTCGTATAAGATAAAATCAATCTATAAATGAACTAAATTACACGATTAATAAAACATATTTCATTCAATTATAAAAGCCATAAAAATAAACGGAACGTTTTAAACTTCATTTATGCCCGTTTCTACTAATGTAGATTAATTATAATCTCAGTTCAACTTACTCTTCATCTTTTTCTAATTCTTAAAACTAGGAAAAGAGATGAAAAGTTAATTGAACCGAGATAAAAATTAAACTATATTGTTAGAATCATTAGAAATGCGTTAGTCATTTTCAGTCGCAAATAATTATAAAATTAATATATAAGTATAAAATTTAACATAAGTTATAGAGTTATATGATAGATTAAGTTAAAATTTTCAAAGAATCGTATACTTTATATTTACTGACAATACGAATATTAATGTCTATTTCAGAATCAATTCTTGAATCAATAGTAAGAGAACGGAAGTCAATATAATTAAAACTTGAGAAAAGTCAGAATTAAGAGCAGTGTGGATGTGCTTAATGTCCAAAAAATCAGAAGTCAAAAAAGAAAGTAAGATGTAGAATCTATTATACGAGTATATATAACGTGTCAGAAATAATACGCTCTTTCTCGCACGGATAAAAATAGTTGAATCTTATTCGACTATTATTATCTTTCAGTACTAATATTATCAGAAGAAACTGTTAACATATTAACTTTGATCTCTGATACGTAAAAAGGTTCAATACTTTATCTTTATAACCTAATTTTTTACTTTTTTATCTCAATATATTTGTTATACATATAAGAAACAATTAAATAATTTTTATTAAAATGGATCTTTTCAAACAAAAATTTCTCATTAATAATTATTTCAACTAACACTGTTACAATTTATATATATACACTAAAGAAAATAAAATTAGCTGAACAATAAACGGTAACATAAATAAAAATCAATAATAAATGGTTATCAGTTCTAATTTATCCTTATGCTATTGTAATATATTGCAATATATTTTAATAATAATTATCGAGTACGTTCTAAATAAATGAATAATATACGTATTTTTTAATTAATTTGACGTGTGCTTTATCCTATCAAACTATTGAAAATTTCAATTTTCATATAATAATCTAAATATCTTTGCTTCATAATTCAGCGCAGACGTGATTTTCATTGGTCCAGGGATAGAATGCAAATCGTACGTTGAGCACGAGCTGCAAATTCGTA